AACGGAATACCCAAGCCCACATGACGTAAATAGCCTACAAAGATACCTCGGAATGATTGCGTTCTACAGGGATTTCATTCCACAATGTTCCGAGATATCGCAACCGCTCAGTCACCTTCTGAAAAAAAAAGGCGTCAAGTGGTGTTGGGCCGAACAGCAACAATGCGCATTCGCAGCCCTTTCAAAAGCCGTGACTGACAACGCTTGTTTACAGCTCCCAGACTTGAACAAGCCGTTCGTTCTGCAGTCAGATGCAAGCGACTGTGGCCTGGGTGCTGTCTTGCTGCAGGAGTATGGCGGTGTGCTTCGGCCAGTTGCTTTCACGAGCCACACGCTAACTCCAGCCGAGCGCAACTACAGTGTCGCAGAACGTGAATGTCTCGCCATTATTCATGCTTTGAAGCGCTTCGATATGTACCTAGATGGCGCAACGTTCCAGATTCAATCTGATCACTTAGCGGTATCATGGCTAAGGGGACAAGAATCCAGCTGAACGTCTTGCTCGTTGGGCGCTTACGCTACAACAGTACAACTACTCCATTGTGTACCGCCCGGGGTCAACTAACAAAATTGTTGATGCGATTTCTCGTGCTCCACTTCCCGAGGAACACTCGCAGGATACCCATGGCTTGGTGACCGTCGCGGCCACGACACGAGGATCCCCAGATTCGCGGTGGGGTACATTGGTGAGCCGCGAGGAGCTTCGCAAGGCGCAGCTGGAGGACGAGCTCTGCCAACGCGTGTCCGCTTGGCTGGCAGCAAGAGGTGCAGTCGACCGCCCAAGTGACGAGGAGTTCGACTCCTACTTGATGAGCGACGACGGCCTCCTGCTGCGCTACATCCCCCAGGCCGACGACGATCCGGATGGCTCGGCGTTCCGGACCGTGATACCCCACAAGCTACGTAAGCTTTTCATCCGATACATGCATGACTCTGCCTTGGCAGGACACAGCAGTGGGAGCAAAACTTACGAAAAGTTATCCCAAATTGCTACCTGGCCAGGCATGAGGCAGGATGTGCTTCGATATGCTCGTAGCTGCTCGGTGTGCCAGAAAGCAAAACCACGTGGTGGCCAGCCCCCCGGTCTCATGCAACCAATCGCGAGTCAGAGTCCTTGGCAGATTTGTTGCTGTGACGTCATGGGCCCCTTCCCACGTAGTACCCGTGTCAATCAGTACTTATTCGTGGCAACCGACCACTTCACGAAATAGGTCGAGTTATTCCTTTTGCGGAAGCTAGATTCGCAAATAGCTGGGAGTGTCTACTCGAAACATTCGCTAGGTTTGGCTTTCCTGCACAGCTTGTAAGCGATAATGCCTCCTATCTCACGAGTAAGGTGTTTGTGGACGCATGCGCGGTACTGGGAATCAAGCACAAAAGAACTTCCCCGTACCACCCGCAAGCAAACATCACGGAAAGCGTAAATCGAAACCTTAAGATGATGCTAGTGGCCTACACCGACCGCCACAAGGACTGGGACGCGAAACTGCCCGAGCTGGCATTCGCCACCCGTACAACCACTAATCGGTCAACGGGTCTCACTCCTGCCCAATTAAATTTCGGCAAGGAGCTCGCATTCCCGCTTTCTAGCAGCCTTCTTTCTACAGAGCCTGGAGGAAGGCTTCGCCCCTACGTGAAGTTCGCAGAGGACCTGCGACAGCGCTTCTCCGATAACCTTCGAGAGGCCAGAGAAAATCTCGACGTCGCCCGGGTACAGCAGGCTGAACCGTACAACCGGGGGCGACGTGACTTGCAGTTCGAGGTGGGAGATTTTGTGCTCCGGCGTACTCACCCACTGAGCGACGCCGCTCGGGGCTTCGCAGCCTCCCTCGTCAGCAGGTGGGGAGGTCCGTTCCGCGTGCGTGAAAAGTGCTCACCACTCGCTTACAAACTAGTTCATTGTGAGTCTAGTGAGGAAACCGGACCTGTTCATGTCACCGACCTTAAACGATTTTTTCAAGCAGAAGACGAAGATCCCTCGCAGGACCGGAACGACACTGACGGCAGTCGTGTTCCGGACACCCCCTTGTCTCCACCAAGGCAGCGGTATAACCTGCAACGTAGGTGACGCGAAAGAGAGAGGCACCTTTTTTTTTTCGTGTCTCCTGTCTTCGCCTCTCTCGCATTTTGGGGGTAGTTTTCTACTTCCACGTATCTGCTCCCCTTTCAAGAGAGGGGGGGGGGGGACGATCGTGTGCCCACCTCAGATCCGTTATTTGGAACTTTTTGGCAGGGGGGTAGCAGCAAAACTTTGCTCGCAACGAAACACCTGCCCTGCCCTCTTTTGTTTCACGAAGATGGCCCGTGACAACAACCGTCACCACACCCCGCCATCAGAACGACATGGCGGCCGGGCACATGGTATGCCGGGCCACCAAGGACGTCGGCGCGGCAGGGGCGGCCCAGGGCACCGTGGACCGCGGCCACCCCCTACAGAACGGCCCAACGGACCCGGCCTATGCAGACGGTGCAGCAGCCGGCCACAACGATCCGTCGCCACTTGGACTATACTGGAGGGGGCCACCCCTGTTGGCTGGGCAACAGACCTGCGTTGGAGAGAGCAGCCCCACCCCGAGAACGGCTGCCCTCCAGCCAATATTCCGGAGCCATTGAGCGGGCGGACCCTCGAAGACCGCCACCCCACAAAGCCGGCTGCGCAATATACAGCCGAGGAGTTGCGCCTCCACTGCCCACTCTGTGGGGTGCCACAAATATCCAGAGCGGTCCACATCCGTGGCCAGCTGCACGGGGAAAGGGCAGACGCGGACAGGATCGCCCGCATCAACAGGCTGAACGAGAGCGACCTAGAGCGGGCCATCGCGCTGATCCAGCGCCGCCGGCCGGACCTCCTGCGCCAGGGCGCCCCACCCCTCGACGCCGCCGACATCGTGATAGACATGCCCGATTGTTAAAGGGGGGGAGAGTGTGGGGGCACACGGTTGCCCGGTACCCAAAATACCGCGGCCATCATTCGGCCGCAAGGTGGCGGCAAGCAGCCGGCCACGCTGGAGTTCCTCGATATGCTCCCCCGAAGGGGGAGCATATCGAGGCCACGCGCCCCTCGTGCCGCTCGCCTAGATGAGGCGAGACAGGAGCGGCGCGAGGGCAGTCGGCCGATTTCCGCCGAGCTGAAATAACCATGTTAGTATTGTGATTGTCTTTGTCTTATTAAATGTAGTTTCTTGTTGAAACCGTTGGCTCCGTGTTATTCCTCCGGGTCGGGTATGCAGCAAGGCAAACCGACCACAAGGTCAACAGATTAGGCATCTGCAGGAAAACCCTTATATAATAAACATAGCATCTCTCGTGCCTGTCAGAACTACTTTATTTGGGTGTTAAATCGAAGCAAACAAATACTCTCACAAACTTGCTATAACTGATTAGTTAACAGGCATACAAACGATTACGAAAAGCCGTCGCGTCTCAAAAAAGGACTTAAAACATTTCGTATTTTAAAATGAGCAAATTTGTATGGGCAAACCTTCTACGACATTTAAATTTACGAAATGTTTTAGACCACACTAAATGGTATTCACACAAAAAATATTTATAAATGACTTAAAATAAATAATGTTGAAATTTCTACTGTTAGAGTATTCCCTGGTATTTAAAGATGTTTTTGGTAAGATCATTTTATTTGACTAACGATATTGCACCTGTTTAATGTCTATATTTATTCAAACTTTTATCTGTTATACAATTTATGTCATAAAATGAAACGTGACACAATTCACAATTGTCCAAACCGGATACACTATCGTCAAGAGGTAAGACTCTAAAATGTTATAGAAATAGATACAAATATCCACTCATTTCCATGAACATTTGGCGCTTCTAACGTAGCTTAAAAGCAATGTGACAACCTTTGTTTTTGTTGCGCGGAAGCTCCCTCAGCCTAGCGAAGCGCTGGCGGAGTGGTGTCGATCTCCCAAATCTCACAATCCGACTTTGGTAAATTAGAAGGAAAAGAAACGCGATAACTAAAAATAGAAAGCAAAACTGTTTTCAGTTTCATCCCAGTGACGAATTGGCTCAGCGTATATCTTTTTCCAAGACATTTTGAGACACGGCCACGTTTTCTGCACTATTTGAAACGAAATTGCCGGCGTAAAAAGTAGCGCTGATGTTTAGATACATTCCAAGTACTTTAAACATATTTTATATGGCTGTACCGCTTCATACCTCAAGTAGGCCGCTATACATAATTTGTCGTTTGATTACCTCTTTACAATGGCCTATACTTGCAATTGAAGAACGCAAGCACTCCCTGGCAAGAGGCACCCACTAAAAAGAGGAAAAGCAGTACCGGTTGAATTAATTAAACAACTCGCCTTTGGCATTTCCACAACGCTGGCTCTATCTTTCTCATTCATTTATTTCCATCGTCTTCGGCTTCTTGTATACTTTTCTTAATATAATGTAATAGTCCACTGTGATATTCTTACGATGGGGCCACCTAAACAAAGATACCAATCAGAAAAAAAAAACACCATTCACACTGCTGGTTTCTTCTGAGTGGTATCTTTGTCCAGCTGGCCCATCGTAAGAATGACCAAACCAGCTCAGCTTAAGCCCGTGATAAGTCCATTGTGAACTAGAATACCATGCATCTATTATTCACATATAGTTGTTATTGACCAGAACTGAGCGGTGCTTTTCAGATATATCCAGTATAATGTTTCCTGTCGTATCCGCCAAAATCTTTGAAATCGGCGTCTCCCTCAAAGTTCTCCTATCGTTCTGATGTGGTGCCATCTACGAGAAAGTTCCTCAAGCTCGTACCCAAGACTTCCACGGACACTCGTTCGGATGATGCAACGCGGGAAAGAAAGAGAGAAGGAGAGGGAGAGAGAGAGAGAGAGAGAGACGAGCTTTCCGTTTCCTTTTGGTTGCTTCCGGCCCCTAATCGATTTGGGCAAGGGGACGAGGCAGACGACGCGGTCACGTGACCCATTATGGCAGCTGCCTGTTGCGCAACGCTCTGCAAGTTCGGAGCAGCACTCCCGAGACTCGCTGCCAGAACCTGACGTCATGGACCCCGGTGGATAACCGTCAGCAGTTCGCTCATCCCACCACTGCTGCCAAAAACGGGTGAGCCAAACCTTTCCTCTTGTCCCTTTGCAGTATTTCTTTCACCCGGTCACTTCCTCAAGTGTGTAGGGAGTGTTCTCATTTCCCAACGAATCATCCTTTTGAATGGTAAATCGGCTATACTCGGAAGAATACATCGGACTCTAGAACCTTTGCTTTGTGGATCACCAGGTTGCCCACAGGTTGTACGAAAACTAATACCTCTAGGGTTGTTATAAAACTATATCTAAAATTCAAAAGTAATAACTTATTTTGATATTCCCAGGGCCATCGGTATAACAGATGGGAGTAAGAGCAACATAAGTTAAAAGAAGAGAGTAATACACTTTGTTCATGACAACTCAAAACAGGAACTGGTGTTACAGCATTTTTAACTTGTATGATGGTTTGCCCCAGGGATAATGGAAGCCAATATGTCGTTTCATTAAAAATACGTTTTCGGGTCTAATGGCTAATGACATGCATTAGTGTTAGAATTTGGTACAACTAAGTTGTAATTGTGATCATCGAACGGTGAATGTAAAACGATGGAATAAAACGCCTGATTTAGTTACGGGTTAATAAAAATCTTGCAGAAAAAGACACTCTCTGCTTTACGGCGGAAAGGGAGCAACACACAAAAAAAAAGGTTCTGTCGTATCTGCAATATTGTCCCTTGTACCAAAGGAAAAGGTGGGAACAAGATATAATATTTAGCCAAGATATGCTGCCACTGCAGGAACAGAGTGCGAATATTTGCCCTCTGTGCTCACTTCTTCGTTCATGTCGCAGCAGAAGGAAGAAGCGGCGAATAGACACGGGGGATTATATAAGTTCGTGTTCAAGAACGAAAAACACTTCGGATACATTTGAGTTATCGGAGCCAGCTCGCCGTTAGTGAATGTGAAATGCATAAGTTCACCGCTGTACCCTGTTTCGAAGATTCTGATTTTCCGATGGCGTCCCTAATAATCCCGCAGGGCTGAAAAACTGGCTCAAAATCTTTGACACGAGACGCATGGGTTTTAACCGTGGCATGTCGTGGACTGCCAGACAGAGGAGGGCTGACGCCGGTGGTGCCTGATAGCCACAGGCGCGTCGCATTCCCGCTCATTTTCGCCAGTGACATCAGTTGTGGCTTGCGTCATCGCACATGCTCGTTGTGTTCGTCCAGCACCTTCTAGAATAGAAACAATGGTGTAACAGCTATTTCGTAAAGACAGTGCAGTGCGCGTCTTCTCCGCTCTCCTTTTCCCTCGAACAAATAAAAGGATTCCAAGCTGGGCTTCTGATTGCTTTACCCCGAAGTTACCTTCGCGTTGCGGCAAAAAGTCGCCGAGAAAAAAAAAAAAAAAAGGAAAGTCGTGGAGAATGTAAGCTGCAACGGCCGACAGATACCGGTGGCACCGCCCCTACGCGAGAAGTTGAACTAGCAACGAGAGATAGCTTCCGGACAAACGTGCAGAGGCATGCTAAGAACTTAGCCTGATCATGCTTGAGAACAATGAAAATAACGTGTTGTTATTGCCCACGTGGTGTTATTGGGATTGTTTCTAGGTAATATTTCTTTTGGCCTGTTCAGATATCAGAAATTTATTTGACTGGCGCAGGGACAACGCGCTCAGATAATCATTGATTTTCAACTTCTTCGAGGCGTAATTCGTGCGCATGTGATTTACAGTATATGTACCAGAGCTAGGATCTTCCAGTTTGCACCGCAACAGCCAAATGCTGCAGGGGCGGTGTTAGAACATTTTTCTTGGAAAAGTGGGGAAGGGGCAAGACGTGATTGTCGACCTCGTTTGGGGTGCGGGAAAGGGGTAGCGGGGCGGAGGGGGGGGGGGGGGGGGATTTGTGAAATGTTTTGAACTTGCTGGCTATAATCACAGGTTGCACGTTTTTTTTTTTAATGGGACGTAGATTGGCTTTTAGTCAATCAGCTGTGTGTGTGAATGAACACGAGTCACTTCGAGTTTTAAAGAGTTAGAGTTGTTTGGTTTCCTTTTATTGCTAGCGTTAATCCGTAACAAAAAACAACAACAACCTAGGAAATATTTGGAACAAATCTGCGATCTGAAGACTAAAAGTGGTTCTATTATCTCAAGCGTACCCAAATTTGCGAGCACCAACATCGTGTGGATTATAGCCTAATTAACAAACTAATGCAACTAGCCAGTGAAGAATAGAAACCTCAACAGACTAAGTACACAATTTAATATTTAAAAAAAAGCAAAATATACAATCCATCACCCAAACTATTGGTACCTTGAAACCATTTTTATACGAATGTTTTATGGAGACCATTGTTTTGAAATACCGATGACGTTGGTTTCTTATCACAAGATATCTGAATATAATGCCACCATACCATTCGATGGCACGGCTGGAAGCATGCATGATGAATCCCACTGTTGCATTGAAAATAAGGTCGCCTTTAAATCATTGTTAGTTCGTGAGAAGACTCGGAACGAAGGTCTGTAAAACATCGACATGAATTCATGATGAAATCTATCAATAATTGATGTAGAAAGCACTACAATAGATCGATTGTACAGCACACACCTATTACGGTGTGTGCTGTACTGTATACTGTAAATCATATGCGCACTTAGGATTGTGCAGCACGCACCTGTTACAATACAAAGTACACAATGTTACTAAATAAAAAAGTTTTCAAGAGTGCAGAAAAAATAAAGATTTCATAGAAACACACATCCGCATAAAATTTCAGTGATGTAGCACGTCCCCCAATGGCAAACGCCCATGAACTTCAGTCTACACCATTGTTTTAAGAGAAGAGGTGTACAATGTATTGCTTTTTACAAGCATTGTGCTCCATCATTGTGCTGCGCTTCGAAGGTGAAACAATCAATACCTATGTTGTTAGCGAAAGATTGGCCAGCTGTGAGCAAGGCTAGATCGAACACACAAAACGTGTGTTCGAAGGATGCGGACGACGCTGGTATTGTAACAGCGATAGCAGCAAGCTTATGTAACTCCTGAAAACCGAGCTTAAATTCCTCGAGAACTGCAACAAATTGAGGCCGTGTTTTTACCTCGCACCTTCTACACCGATGCGCTGAAGGAGCTTTCTAAGTAGGTTGCGCTCAATTTCCACGCTTTCAGCGTCGTATGAATAGGGTTGAGTAAAGGAACATCCAAAAATGTCCTACCTTCTGGAGGGATAGCAGTCATTTCACTGATGACATTATTATTTTCAGTTAACCTGCTCGTCAGCTCGGCCTCAGTGCGGTTGAGAAAGGGGAGAAACGCTATTACTCTAAATGCCTTCTTTTGCTTCGCGAATTTTGTCTTCTAATGACCTTCCTTCAGTGAGTACGTATACTACTGTAAATGAGAAGGCAGCCGCGTCGCTCTTCGCGCTTGTTTCGATGTCACGCCGTCCCCCTCGGCAATCTCGCAGCCTTGGGCTCATATCGAGTAATAAATGTCTTCGGAATTTCTCTCCTCGGAAATGTCGTCAATGGATGCACGCGCCATGAGGCACGCTCGGGTGAGAAAGTGTTTGTCTTGCAGAAAGTAAAAAATATTCTTCAGGAAACTAAAAAACAACGTAAAGAAAAAAAAAAAAAAAAAAAAAAAAACACGATATGTTTAGCCGTTTAAGCAGAGCTTCAGTTGCCCGCTTGCTCTTCGTCGCAATGACTGCTCTGCATGCAGCTCGACAATGGGCAAACGAAGCCTTTTTTGAACGTTTAGAAATAAGGGGCGCGTGGCGGGTCGTGGAGACTTTCAAGCAGGGCGAAACCATTCCTCGCTGGTTTTCCCAAATCCCATGTATGCCAATACTGGCAACTCCCGCGGAGCGCGGGCGAAAAGTGATAGCAGCGCCCCTGCCGAGCTCGGAGTCTCCGCTAGCCGTCCAATCCTCCACAACACCTTAATTTTGCCTATCTCTGTGCGAGGTGACCGATGAAAATAAAAATTGTCGCGGGTATTCGCTGCTTTGAATGTTAAAAAATAGGTGCAACCTCATGAGTGAAGGACATTTTCTTCGCATGGGACAGATGTTACAGCTTTCAGGGTGCAATTTTCGGGCTCTCCTGAAGAAAAGACTCTGTCAGAACTAACGTAAGCCAATCAAAACTTGAATGTACCATCGCCCTGCTTCTTGAAAAAGGGCAATGTAAAAAAATCTTCAGAACATAGCTACGTCTCAACTTTACTGTTCTTATCGATTCATTTGTTTTGTTGTTGCAATTCAAATTTCTCATGAATGTATTGCTTAAAGCCGTTTCGCCGAATAGGCGAGCTGGCTAATCCCGATCGTCTCCGCATAAAGAAGCAAAAGGCAATTTCGAACCACGTACGCTACTGCGATATCACAAGGCCAAGTTTCCGAGACATTCGGGGTAGTTTCAAAACTTCCCACCACGCGGCGCTCAAAGACCAACCTGCAGAATATTTTTCAACCAGAAAAACGTTCCCCTCGCCACACTTCCCATTTCCTCCTCTCCCACAGTTGACTTGACGGCGGGGAGACTCCTTTTGTTGCTGCATCTCGGGGCCAGATAAGCCAAGCTAAGCGCATAATGGGCGATTTGCAGCGGGAGGCACAGCGACCCCTTTCCTCCGGCGATACCACAGAAGCGCCCGAAACCGAACTCTCCTTTCTGCAGCGTTTCAGAGCCTAGCCTCTCGGTTTTGTCTCTGAATTTTTGTTTTGTTTTGCGATAAACATGCTTGGCTACTCCGAGCATTTGACTGCTTCTGCCGTCCATGTAAAGTGACCCAAGGCCATGTGAGGATGGGCATAGGCCAAGGGCCATCGTCCAAGAACCCTAGAGTTCGAAGGGACTACCGCATTTTCCGGACTATAACCCGGACCCGGTGCATAGTCCGCAGGGAAATATTTTGCGTCAAAAATAAAAGTGCTTGCTTAGATAGTCCGCACCCGGTACACAAACGGCACCCAGTGCGAAGCCCGCACTTAGCACCTAGTCCGAACGTAAAAAGTATCATACTCAGCAGACCTTGGCAAACGCCTACTGTATTAGCTC